TATATATATTATTTTATTTTTTTATTTTTTTTTTATTATAGTTTTATTGTATTCTATTTAAATATGTAATTTAATATAAGTTCAAAAGAACATTTATTTGACAGAAAGCTTTAGTAATATTCTTTTACTGTCTGTTTATCTGTAAATTGGCTATTTGAAATACAGATATAACTGTAAATTTCCAATTTGGGTGTTTTTTAAGTAGATGTGAAACAACCCCACAATATCATTGAGAAAAAAAAGTTGCCATTTTTCTATAGCTACAGTAAAAAAAAATAAAATACAGACCAAATATGTACATGAAAGACTGCTAAATGTGATCCAAAACAGTCAGCAATGTAGTGAGTAGGCAGTGACCATGTTGAGTGACTTTGGCATGCTGGGAGATTTAGTTTCTGTTCCTGCCAAACTTGTTGCTATGATACATTTCAGAATGTGAGCTGCTGTTCTGTGCACTTTTATCCCATAATTACTGGAAAAACACATTATTCAACTGCTTTGAACATGGCACTGGCTCACTGAGGGTTAAAAGCATCATTGCCCTCATGTCACCTGTGATTTGACCTTGCTTCACCACTCAACTACCTCTCTCGACAGACCGCTGTCCCTGATGCCACGCGCACGTATCCGGTAACCTCTTTAACCTCTGGTTGTAAAGCGATCACATGCGAGGAAGTCGTGTCCTGAAGAACAAGTCTCTCAAGAAAACATCAGTCCCAGCGTCTCCCTTTTATGCCTCCCGATACCATCTGGCCCCCGAGCTCTTTGTAGCTCACGGCAAGGTGGTTTATCGCCATTCCGGCCGCCGTCTAGATGCAGCCCATCGGAGGCCTTTAAAGCAGCCGATCTTATCGAGAAAACAGAGAACGGGCCGTTCGGAGTGGCTCTGAAAGCCAGGAACAGCTCTGTCCGCCACGCAGGAAATGCCCCGTCAGCCGAAACCAAGGATGACTGAGGGAGTCGGGGCAGATAAGATCACCAATATCTGGACCTAAGCACAATTAGGTTTGTTTTTGCTAAACTAAAAGTCCCAAGTAGAATGGCATGACGCAGCTACGCCGGCGAAAACATTCGAGAAAGTTTGATCACGTAGGACGTGAGTGGGAGCAAAAAGCAATTCCTCTTCTCAGATGGAAAAACATAAACTTCTCAATCCTTTTGTGGCCCAACCAGGAACATAATACAAAGCATTTCACTCCCATCTAATTCAACACGGGAACTACATTTAAAAACGCCCCAAAGCGCAAGTGTGTGAGCAAACAAATTCTAGAGAGCTGTTTCAATAAAGGATCCACTACGTTATCTTGACTCGCAACAATGTGATACGTCCTTCGGTGTGGCGCCAAATGAGAAAATTAAAGAATCTCAATTTGTCTTAATCTATTTCCTGTTTGACCGAGGAACCCAAAGTGAATTTCTCTGCCTCCCAATCGCAGGTACGCCAGCAATAAATCCCAAATAAATACATTTCAGTCCAATCCACAGGCAGCAATACTCTCTTCCCGAACACTTCATCAGGAGAAGAGATTTGCCTCCCTGCGGAGGAACCTCAGAGGGTATTAAACCATCAATCACTGACAATTCCATTGTTAAAAAAGCGCTGATAGGGACGTCACATTAACAACACAATTTTCTCAGTGGAGACAAGAGATACAGCCATTGGATGACAGAACTACCCATGATTAGCATCTAAAAAAAATTAATTAAAAAAAACATGCATCATAATGCAGGATTCTAAAAGCTCCAAGGTTAGATAAGATCAAGAAATCTAACAGCTCACTGGCTTTTGTAAATCATAACACAAACTTAAAAAAGATGCTTTTAATGAGGATGACAATGCTGGAATTTTCAGGGTGATTGCTTGGTTCGTAAGTAGTTGCTTACTGGTTAAAGTCAGATGAGTTACCTAAATACAGGATTAAGTTAAATAATTTTTACTATTTAAAATGTATTATTATTATTAAAGTAAATATAATACTATATTTAGTGGTGCTTACTAATGCAAGGATAATTATGATTGATAAAAAATACTAATAATAATCATAATAAATTGTACTTATTATTATTATAGAATAATATACAATATTATATATTGTGGTGATTACGAAGGCAAGTATAATTTACTTAAAAATAATTTAACTATTGTTGCTATTACTATATATTATACATGTATTTTAATAATAATTTTATATCAATTATTGTTAATAATAATAATAATAATAATAATAATACTTAACCACAACTAAATGCTGTATTTTGCATGAAGGGTTATTTTGATCTATAATTTTATTTTAAATTCATTTGAACATTTCAGTCAATACATTATTATTGAAACTATTAAATGTAGTGCCACTTAGGCGATTATAACTTATCATTTATAACAGGTAAATTATACATAAATCACATAAACATTTCCTAATGACCTTTCATCAAAGGTCAAGACTCGCACAGACTCTTGAGTGCTGAATAACATTGTGCAGAGACAAAAGTAAGACCTACGTAGAAATTCAAAGCCAGAACAGGCTGAAGAGTTGAAAAAAGCCTTCGTCTGGTTTATAAATAGCACTGCAGGCCTGTTAGTAATGCGTTTATAGATCCACGTTGAAAAAAATACCCCCTCACTCGGGGATTGTAAATATTGGATTATTGTGGGTTTCACAACCTGAGAAGATTCCGGAGAACTCTACCTGCTGCATTAGTAAAGACGCGAATTGAATCTCACTCTCGCTTTGAATACAGCTACTTTTCCTGCGTGGTGAAGATGGATTTCAGCAGTGGGAAAAGGTGTGTTGATGGACTAGAGCTCTGCTTTAATCCCTGCAGTTATGATCTGATAAACTGACAGGCCACGAGTCTGCAGCAGATACGATTTCAAGACCGACACACCACAACACACTTCAAAAAATCCTGCAAGCTGTAAATCCTGCTTTTAAGAAACAGAAGAACATAAAAGAAGTTATCTAGCTTAGTTATCTGACAGCAGTGGTCAACATTCACTTTCATTTTATGGAAAAGAAGATTGGACAATCATACAAAAAATAAAGTCATACACAATTGGAACAAAATGAGGGTGAGTAAATAATGACAGAACTTTCTTTTTTGGGTGAACTATCCCTTTAAACTTAAGCTACCATTGATTATGAATAGGTGCTAAGTAAGTAAAATAGTACTTCTTAGGTTAAACTTGTTTTATTTGGTTTTATTAGAGGTTGTTACTAAGGTAACACCATGTATGTGCATACTTGAACAAACCCCAACAAATGCTCATTAAACTTAAAAAAAAAAAAAAACTAAGATAAAGATAAGACTTTCTTAAAACAAGAAAAATTATCCATGAATTAGATAAGAAAAGAAGATATTGTTTTCCCTTTGAATTTTGTTTATTCTTCCCCCTTTTTTTTTTTACCTCATTCACAGATTTTTCCCTTTTGTTTTAAGCATAAATTCACTCTATTTTAGTACATTTTCAGAAAACAAAATTGAATATGTTAAGTTATTTTACATAAATATATCTTCATTTAAGAATGTTTAAATATTTGTACTGGAAAACAAGATAAAATACTAAGGCCCCGTTCACACGGAGATGCGTTTAGCTGTATACGCATACATTTTGTATCGTATAGGCGTTTCGTCCACACGGATCCGGCGTTTTGGGAGAGTGAAACCGATATTTTTTGAAACCGGGTCCCAGAGTGGATAAATCTGAAAACGCTGCAACTTTACAGATCTTCTTTATGCACCAAGAGCTTGTAACACTCCAAAGAGAAAGGAAAAATTGAAATCGCATCATATGACCCCTTTAATACATATTAATAAGTGTATTGTTCCATGTCTGTTTGTATAACGCGCGCAAGGTTTATGCGCATAGTCCAGGGGTAGGCAAGTTCGGTCCTAGAGAGCCACAGTCCTGCAGAGTTCAGCGCTATAGGCAGGTGAGTTTTGTTTTCAGGGTTGGAGCTGAACTCTGCAGGACTGCGGCTCTCTAGGACCGAACTTGCCTACCCCTGGCATAGTCCAAGTCTTCTTCTCCGTTTTTAGTGTACCTCTGTGGCACATTACAGCGCCACATGCTGGTCTGGCATGTATACTACATCGTTTTGTGTCGGTTTCGTGGTTTTGTGTGGACACAGATATTTCTTGAGATGAGGGGAAAAAAAAGATCGGATTGGGAAAGCTCTGGCTTCGTGTGGACATAGCCTAAGTAAGGAAAGATTTTTGCAGTGCTACTACACGGTTTGCATGGCAAACGATAAAACATAAAATCCCACACACTTCCACTAAATGACTTGGGCCAGTAAACAGCCACTTAGAAACCAGCCTAGCAACAACCCAGAACACCTTAGCAACCACCCACAACACCTTAGCATCATGCTGGCATGTCTGCATGATCAGTCCCCATATTTTCTTCAGAAAGCATAGGCTAATCATAAGGTTTGCTTTTATTCTTTCTTAGTCTTTAAGTAACTTTGAATTTATGTTAAACAAATGGGAAAATCCATACACTGTTATTTACACGGTGTATCTTCAGTTTCCGCTCTTAACTGTGAAGTAGACTCTATATTCAGGATGTATTACAAGAGCAACACGATCAACGACAAGCGCAGTAAACTCACCCTGGAGCAAGAGGAACTGCAACGAGTGCAATAATTACATAAAACCACAGAGAGACAGAGATATTTAAACAGGTTTGTTTTCCCTGGGATGGCAATTACTGCAGAATAATGATAACCAGGGCTTACTCATAAAGGCAGTGATTGGAAAAGGGCAAGAGATTGTTTCTATTGGAATAAACATTGTACTTAATATCATTTAATGCAGAGGAGAAAATGCCATTTGAGAATTTTAAGGGGATAGTTCACCCCAAAATGAAAATTCTGCCATCATTTACTCACACTCATGTCATTCCAAACCTTGTGTTCCACAAAAGAAAGAAAGTCTTTTTCTTTCTTTTGTGGAACATAAAAGAAGACATTTTGAAGAATGTTGGTAACTAGACAGTTTCAGTTCCCATTGACTTCCTTTGTAAAATACTATGGAATGGGAACCAAAATTATTTGGTTACCAACATTCTTCAAAATATCAGGATTTTTGTTCAGCAGAAAAAAAGAAATGCATACAGGAACACAAAAGAAGATATTTTGAAGAATAAACTTTTGTGGTTCCTTTTGACTTCCATAGTTTTTTTTTTTCAATACAATGTATACTTAGTATACTACTGTATAATATACTAAGTCAACTGAAATTGTTTGGTTACCAACATTCTACAAAATATTGTCTTTTTTTGTTACAGGAACACAAAAGAAGATATTTTAAAGAATGTTTATAACTAAACAATTTTGGTTCCCACCGACTTCCATTGCATGGAAAGAAAATACTTTGGACGTCAATGGGAACCGAAACATTTTGATTATCAACATTCTTCAAAATATCATCTTCTGTATTCAGCAGAAAAAAAAAAGAAATGCATACAGGAACACAAAATAAGATATTCTGAAGAATGTTGGTAACTAAACAGTTTTGGTTCCCATTGACTTTCATCGTACGGACAAAAAACAAACAACAAACAAACAAAAAAATATAATGGAAGTCAATGGGAACCAAAAGTCTTTGGCTATTGACATTCTTCAAAATATCTTGTTTTGTGTTAAGCAGGGGGAAAAATCATACAAAAGAAGATATTTTGTAGAATGTTGGTAACCATACGGTTTTGATTCCCATTAAATTCCATTGTATGGACAAGGAAATATTATGGAAGTCGATGTGAACCAAAACTGGTTATCAACATTCTTCAAAATCTCCTCTTCTGTATTCAGAAGAAGAAAATAAATGCATACATGAACACAAAAGAAGATATTTTGCAGAATGTTGGCAACAGTTTTGGTTCACTGTATGGACCAAAAATACTATGGAAGTCAATGGGAACTGAAACGGTTATCAACATTCTTCAAAATAAATTCCTTTGTGTTCAGCAGAAGAAAGAAAGTCATGAAGTTCTCTCAATGACATGAAGGTGGGTAAATGATGACAGAATATTCATTTTCTCATAGCGTACCCAACATGCCGGAAGGAGAAAGAAAACCTGTTGAAATACTTTTCAAACTGCTAAATCATACTGTGATAAATAACTTCATGAGGTAAAGCGCCTCATAAAATAACCCAGGAAGGAGAACCAGGTCAAAACTAAATTTTCCTAGATCTCCAATTCTTACATGACTCCAGATGGTGTAGTTACGGCATCTACCAGCAGGAAGCTAACCGAACCGTGCTAACCTGAACCTGACCCCTTGAAAAAAAGCCGCCCGGGGGTTATTACTAAGATAAGCGTCAAGTGAACCGACTTGCCTTAAAGGATCTCTGTAATTACTGCTGTGCATCCCACCTGTCCGGCATCACCTGCCTTTTATTCCCTGTTGTTAATTGCTATTTCCTCACAGCAAGGACGTGGCGCCCCGGGCACAGCCCTCAAACCACGTTTAGCTGACTCTGAATGTCAGCGGCCATATGAAAAAGCTGTTCTTACAAGGCACTTGTGGGACTGTTGCATTCTCAGAGGCCAAATGACTGACCTTTACGCATACTGTAACACTGTTTGATGAGATCGGAAAGACCGTATGATCGTTAATATCTCAGAAATCTGTTCTGTGCTTAGCAGCACGCTGGCAGCTGAATAATATACTGTACTTTTTACGAGCTGCTGTGAATATGAATACTTTGATGCTGGAGCTGAGATTCTCTTGTTGCTGTGTACCACTGTGATTTAATATGTTGTATTAAACTTTTATAGTTTAATGCTTTTAAAATCTGAGGAATTAGATTTCTGTTGCAGTTCTGAGCTGTGAAAATTTCACATTATTAATGGACAAAGACATTTAATATTTTAAAGATGACAGATCTTTGGCAATTTTTAAACAGAATGAAAATAAATTTACCCTCATGCTTTTTTTTCCAAACCTGTAGGACTTTATTTTTCTGTGTAACATGGGGGAAAATCTGAGGATATTTGGGGCGTAAACGACATTGGACCCCATTCACTTTCGTTGTATTGTATTGTCACTCCAAACCTATATGACTTCAGTTTTATGTAGAACACACAAAACAAAGCAAAACAAAAACAAAAACAAAACAAACGTGGAAATTTGGAGTGCATCAACACTGGTCCCCATTGACTTTCATTGTATTGATGAAAAAAACATTTTTCTAAATATCTTCTTTTGTGTTCCACAGAAATTCAGAATTGTCATCTTCGGGTGAATTGGTGAAAATGTATGTATTCAAGACAAAAAAACTTCAACTTGGCCAGTAATGTCCAGTAATGAAAATTAATTTACACTAATGCTACTCCAAACCTGTATTTTTTTCTGTAGAACGCATACACAAAAAACATCTTTTGAAGAACTTTGGGTCACAAAAACACACACAAAATCTTCATTCGTGTTCCACAGAAAGAAAGTCAGGTTTGAATCAACATGAAGGTGAGTAAACAAAACAAAAAAAACAACAACAACAAAAGTATATAGATAGATAGATAGATAGATAGATAGATATGGCTGTATATCGGCACAGCTGTGATTCAGCTGTAGGCACGAGGTGTAAAGTCTGTAAAGTCATAAGGTTTGGATCAACAGGGAGAGTAAATAATGACAAAATGATCATCTTCAGGTGAATTGTCCCTTTGAGTATATTGAGCAAAATGTATGTATGCACATTACAGCTTGGCCAGTAATGTGCATGAATTGTTGTGAGATTTTTCATTCTTAAATTTGCTGTCAGGCGAGATGTTCCTGTTAGCCTCTAAACAGAAAACCATCTTATTATGGAAGATCCAATATCAAACATTTCTGCTGGAGAATCACTGCAGCATCTATTACATTCTATGTAAGCAGACACAATACTAACTGTAGTTGAGAGAACACAACGATTCTTTTTCAGCAATACGACTTCCCAAAATACACACAAATATTACCATCTATATCTCCATAGACTCATACAGTCAGATGTTTAATGTCTGTTCTGAAAGATTCCCTTTATGCTACAAAACTCTGTGTATCTTTTAAAGATTTGATGTCAGGCAAACATTGTCAAATCCTCAACTAGTTCTTCTTGGATGTGCTCAGTGAGGCAGCCTGGGAGATTGACACGGACTATTGTTCAGATCATTTCAATATATAGTTCACAGCAAAAGCAAAGTTCTGTCATCATTTACTCACCCTCATATTGTACCAAACTCGTATGACTTCCTTTCTTACAAGGAACATAAAAAGAGACATTCTGAAGAATTTTAACTAGAAATGGGTGCTTGCGAGCTCCGAAAAGGACTAAAAGCATAAAAGTATCATAAAAGTAATCCACATGATTTGTATGCTATAATTAAAGTCTTTTGAAGTTATAGGATATCCTTGTGTTGAGAACAGACTAAAACTTTATTCAAACTTTGTCTGTTTATTTTACAAGCTTGCGTTGATGTAAATGATGCATAACAGACTTTTTTTTTTTTTGATTTTAGTGCAAAAGTTTGGAGTCAGTAGGATCTTTTAAAAATGAAATTAATTGTTTTATTCAGCAGGGATGCATTAAATTAATCGAAGTGACATTTATAATGTTACAAAGGATTTCTGTTTCAAATAAAAGCTCTTTGAACTTTCCATTCATCAAAAATATGAAGTATCACACCTGTGATCAACAATAATAATAATAATAGTAAATGTTTCTTGAACATCAAATCCACATATTAGACTGATTTCTGAAGGATCATGTGACATTGAAGACTGGAGTAATGATGCTGAAAATTCCGTTTGGCATCACAGGAACAAATTAGATTTTTTTAGGTTTAAAGAGTTATTTTAAATCATAATAATATTTTACAATATTGCTGCCATTTTACTGTATTTTTTATCAAATAAATGCAGCATAAGAGAGCATTTGTGCAAGCATTAGAGACTTTCAGAAGCATTAAAAACTTACCGACCCACGCTATTGAATGATAGTGTGCATGAAGTCTGCATACACACAAATGAAATTTGCAAATTTAAAATGACTGAATTTTTAGTGTGTTCTCAAAGCCACGGGTAGCATGGACTACTTTTACTGCGTTTTTTGGCCTCTTTGGAGCATGACATCTCCTGATCACTGCTATCCTCAAAATGTCCTCTTTTATTTTGAAGCAAGGCAGTCATACCTGAAAGGAGCAACATGGGGGCGAGTACATGGTCACATTGTTTTTAGACTACTCATGAAAAAATCTCACCTGAAATCCTCCTTCTTCTTTGTAATGTAGGAAGGCGTTGGTGGTTCCCTTCTTGGCCAAGCGAATCCTGGCAAGTCGGACTTTCTGTAAAACAGAAGAGAATTTCTCTGAATCGATCGTGTCAGCACTTGTTTCACACACAACTGCAGCGACTCAGTGTAGCAATGATGCCAGTAAGACTGTTTAGTTACATCAAGGTTTGCTTAATGCTATTTTTGGCCTTTTGGCTATATTTACTGCAAGGACAGCAGAGAGAAGGGACACTTAAAGAGATAGTTCACCCCAAAATGAAAATTCTGGTATAATTTACTTATCCTCAAGTTGTTCCAAACCTGTATGAGTTTCTTTTTTCTTTCAAGCACAAAAGAAGATATTTTGAAAAATGTTGGTAACCAAACAGTTGATGGTGGCCATTGACTTTCACAGTAAAAAAGTCAATGGCTACCGTTAACTTTATGGTTACCAACATTCTTCAAAATAACTTATTTTGTGTTCAGTAGAAGAAAGAAACTAATACAGGTCTGGAAAAACTTGAGGAGGAGTACATTATAACAGAATTTTTATTTCGGGGTGCACTATCCCTTTAGCTGGTTAAACTCACCATAGTCCAAAGCATCAAAACACTATGACAACATGATTTTGTTTAAACCAGATAATGTTTCTAGGCTTTTGCAAATATGCAATTTTTTCTTTCTGCGATATATATAGTATAAATACAAATGAAATATTTAATGTGTGAAAATATTATTATGAAAATATTTTATTCAAATAAATAGCCAACCCCTTTTAAATGACTGAAAAATTAAATGTCTAAACTAAATTACTAAAATCGTCCTTGGACAAAAACAGATGAACGAAGGTCTTACAGCTTTGGAATGACACGAGGGTGAGTAATTAATGACAGAATTTTCATTTTTGGGTGAACTATCCCTTTAACCATAAAACTTAACCCTAAAATGAAAAAAGTTCACAGGTTAAAATAAAGCATCCAATCACGTTATTCTTGATTTGGCATAACATCCAACTATATTTCTAATAGAAAAACTTATTTTGCAAAGACTCATTTGTGGAGGAACTAGTTCTTAAATCCAAAAGAATATCCAGAACAAATCTAGATTGAGATGAAGCGGTTCGGTAGTACCTGCTGGGCTCGCATCTTGTCCGCTCTCTGGTTCTGATGGTAGATTCGGCTGAAGTTGGACACGATGACGGGTACAGGAAGGGCGATAACCAGCACGCCACTGAGAGAGCAGATAGAGCCGAAGATTTTTCCAGCGATGGTGTTTGGAACCATGTCTCCATACCTGCAACAAACACCAACGTCAGTCAAACACTTAACAACTCTATATGTGTGTGTGTAGAAGACAATGACAATTTGTTTGAATATGATTACGCTTATTTAATCAGTAGCCCCTCACTGCAGAACACAAGATCCAGGGGACGAGTTTGGATCCTCATCTAGGGGGTGGAGATTGGTAAGTTTAGGGGTGGAGATGGGTGGGTTTAGGTATCAGGGGGCGGAGACGGATAGGTTTAGGGATATGTAAGATGGGAGGAGTTGGATCTGGATCCAACCTCGCCCCCTGGATCTTGTGTTCTGCACTGAGGACCATCCCTATTTAATGACAAATGCTTGCTCAGAATCTATTTTGCAGTCACATTTAATGTAATTGTGCAAATTAGTTTGGAAAAGTGCATGCGTATTTCAATTCGCAAGGCTCCAAAGCTCATCTCTAAGGCCCCGGACACATCCCATTACCCATGTTTAATAGCACAATATACCATCATAGAATTGCAGAATGCTATTAAGGTGATGTGCTTCTCATAAACACTCACACACACCGCAGCACTGCAGCAGCCATAATCAGCGCTGTCCTCCTACACACTGCATGAGGGTTAACTAATTTACAGGGGTGGTCATGGTTAAGATGTAACTCATAAATCTGAGTGGAAACACTATAGGTATGTTTCGAATGGCATAGTATGATATTACTCGTATGATTTTTTACAATATGCATACTGTGTACAATATGCACATTTTCTATATGCATGCAATTCCTGGATGACATTTGCAAAGGTATACAGTTTGCTATGGAAGCATATAGGTAGCGAAATTCAATTTAAAATGCAATACGCAAAATGGCAATGCAATATTCAAAATGGCATTGTATTTCTGTATTTAAATTTACATTTTCCATTACCCATGGCGTGGTCAGCTCGGAATGCATTTTCAAATTGAATTTTGCTAGAAATATTCCACGGCGTCATGATGAAAATGCCATCCTAAGTGTTCTAACTGTTAGTCTAAATGCATTTAGGACAAATAGCATTTAAATGATCATTATGCTACCATTTCTGCTTGGACATGTTACACATATCAAATCAATTTGTGTTATACATTTTCATTTTAATTTTGCAACTTATAAAGCATTCAAATTTGCATGCAATTTACATATTAAGACTACTGTTGGAAATGGCAAATGTAAATTATATAATTTAATTTTCATTTTACTTTTGCACCAAACTTTGCACTTATGGGTAATGGAAAATGTAAATTTAAATACAGAAATACAATGCCATTTTGAATATTGCGTTGCCATTTTGAATATTGCATTTTAAATTGAATTTCGCTACCTATATGCTTCCATAGTTTGCAACCAGAGCACCCTGTGAAATACTATATCCCACAATGCAATGCACTCAGTTTGACTTTGCATTTCAAACAACTGATTTTTTTTTACATTCTTTTCTATTATTTTATCTGTTTGCTAACACAAAATTGGATTAAAATCCACTAGCTCATTCATAACTACATACTACCATACTATTCATACTATTATTAATATGTCATATAAAGAGAATACAAGTAAATGTATTTAAATCATATATTTATAAAGTTATTTTGGTCAATGACAAATGGAAATTTAATGATCGAATAAAGAGTTTAAATTAAACAGAATTCATTAGAACACAAGTGTTCAAAGATTACATTTTTGTTTATATATACATATACAAGTAATATACAATCATATTATTTACTAAAATATTACAAACAATATTTTAAAGGGAAAATATTATTATGTAAACAAAATATTTTATCTAAATATTTTTTTATTTACAAAATAAATTTGAACCAAGCCTTTCACTTAATGACTTAAAATTAAATGACTAAACTAAATTCTTTCTTAGACATATATACATAAAAAATAATAAAGTGTCTCATTTTCAGGATATGCTACATTCAAATTAAAAACCCTAACCTTAAAAATAAATCCTACTGCTTCACATACTACATTAAAACTGCAATTTCTTTCCCAAATAAATTGTTCATTACTTTCTGAAATAAATTTAAGCCAGCCCTTTTTCTTAATGACTTATTTTTACTTACTTAGTCATGTATGACTTATAATTAAACCACCTAATTTTTCTCTGACAAAAAGGCATCTCATTTTTTTTAGTAATGTGGTTAAAATTTAACAAGTTAAAATCAAATCACGTCATTCAATACTCATTCTGGACTAAGTAAGTTCTGAGTTCGGAAAGCTGAAAGTTATTGTATTTTTCATAGCAGGTGCATCGATCTTTTTTATAACTCAAACAAGCAAGAAAAGTATGCAAAAAATGCAGCCCACTACACCAATAACATCCATAGCTGCATATCTTTTTTTGGATGGTAAGGCATGAAACCGCCAAAGCACAATTATTCACAGCTTTACACACAGACAGCAACACTTTTGAAATGTCATTTTCTGATGTTTCTGAAAGGTTCCTGGTGCGATAAACATTTCTCTGAGGTGTACTCTGCATTTTGGATCAGTCACTGACAACACAACAAAAGAGAAAAAGAGAGAGAGAGAGAGAGAATGCAATCATCATACGACACATTCATATTCACATCATGTTCCATCCCTTCACAGGAGACCGATCTGCAGGTGGAGTAAATTAAACCAATATTTGTTTTTACAGCAGTGTTGATGTTCTGCACTTATATCCTGTCTACAGCATCACCAGAACGAAACTGTCTGAACACTTTTCTTCAATAATACGGACAGTATATGCAAATCAAAACTCGGATAGTGACATAAATAAGACTTTTAGCCAAAGTGACTTGCACTATTGCATTTAAACTATACATTTTATCAGTTCAAGCATTCCCTGGGAATCAAACCCATGACCTTGATGTTGCTAGCACAGTGATCTACTCTTTGATGCTATATAGGAATGCTATATAAGCCACTCAAGGTTGTGCATTATAGAAATTTGACCACGGTTAAAGATGTGTGGTCAGCAGAATCAGGTACAATTCTGAATTTAAGAACTGATTCCCTTCCATTTAATGAGTGGGAATTTAAACTGGCCACACCCACCAGATTTGAATGACAGGAAAAGGAGTTTACCGAATTCAAAGAAATTTAATTTCTCTAACACAAGTTTGTCAGTAAAACAAATTATATACAGTATTATAAAAATACAAAGCCACTAAAGGGACGAGGTGATGGGTAAGAAATATGAGATGTAAGGGGGAAAAAAAAAGTAATTTATTTTACGTGAACAACACAAAACGGCTGCATTTTTCAGAGAAATGTTGCCCTTGTTTGCAATACTGTTGAGATTTTGCAAATGCAAAGTTTCTTAGGGGAACGCAAAATATCTGTGAGAGAACTTAAAGAATTTAAATATGTTTTTTCCTCCCATGTTATATATATTTTTTCTATCTTCATGTCTCTTTAAGGGCTCTGTATAAATATTCTAAATTATGAATGAATAATACACAATTAAATTAAAATTAAATAAATTTTAAATCTTTAGGCTACTAATTATGCTTATTTCTTGCTTAAAAACATTTTTCTCACTCATAAATCTCATTCATGCTTTTGTTAAATTCAAAAATTGGCAAATATGTCATGTCACCATTTTCAATGCAACATTTAAAAAATCCTCCACTTTTGTTACATGAACCAAAACATTTTTGTTAGTGTTTCACAGAAGTAAAATAAAGGTTTTGTGAGTGAATGCAAAATTTCTCGGGGAATGCAAAACATTAGCAAAGGGACTAAAACATTTTTCCTCTCATTAAATTTTTTTTTTTTTTCGATCACCATGTCTTATTAGGAGCTGCATTTAAATATAATAAAATAAAAAATAAATTGTTAATAAATATGAATTTAAAATTAATTTTGATTTAAAATAAATATGAGTAATTATGTTTATTTATAGAAAACATTTTTCACTCTCATAAATTCTTTTGCGAACAAAGCAAAGAATCTGCAAGACCAAAAATGTCCTTTAGTGCAGAAGGATAGTAAAGGTTTCGTGAAATTTCTTGGAGGAATGCAAAACAATTAATGAAAAGCATTGAATTATTTTTTTCACCCTTTTATTATATTTTTTCCATCACCATGTCTTGCTAGGGGCTGCATTTAAATATACTAAATAATACATAAATTATTAATTTAAAAAATGATCATAAAGAACCTTTATTTAATTATTTACAGCTTTACTAATTATGTTTATTTATTACTTAGAAAAACAAACATTTATCTCACACTTCAAAATAAGTGTTAAATTCAAAAATAGCCAAAAGACATCAGTTCTCATGTGTCTTTTGTTGCATAAACCAAATAATTCCAAGACCAAAACATTTTCTTCACAGAAGAAGAAAAACAATACTGAACGACATGAGAGTCATTAAATCATGGCAGAATTTTCATTTTTAGTGCTATTAGACAAAAAAAAACATCTCCCCTCTAAACAGCAGTAATCATATGCCATATCCATGTGAACATGTTCTTTACTGTCTCTCCAGAGGAACAAGAAATCATCTCCTCAGAAAGCCTCCAGTAAAAGCCGTCACATCCAGGCCTGTCACCTAAATCAGACCAGGGCTCTCTATTATGTTTTATTGACACATCAGACTGATATGAGATTTCTCACAAGAGCCTGATCAGATGAGAGACTCAAACACACACACTCTCTACCCACAAACCCTTTCCAGCATTCCTCATTTTTCAGGCCCTCAGGACACACTGCTCTCCCGGGACTAATCTACATCGGCCCGGCCCCTAATCTTGTTTCCAACTGGTAAACGTCCAAATTTTGGCATCGGCAGATGGCCCCGGGTGCACGAGGAGGGCAAGAAGCAGATATAGATTTGTACGATGACAATGCCTATTATCTCTCCAATGATTCTTTGTTTTCTTGATCTCTGAACATTTATTCTGTTGTTTACTATTGTTATTCAGCAATAAAGCAGAGATCAGCAGTTAGTGAGGAGGGAAAAAAAACATTCGCAAGAGCAAAAGCC